TGTCTGGGACTCACGCTCCATCATTGGCGAAACCCTCTGTGTCCTCCCCGCCGCTGGGCACTCTCTTCACCTCCTTGTTCCGACTGGCACCTGACACTCCCCCGAGATGCTGCTGGACCGTAGCTGCCTCACACCTCACGTGGTGGCTGCCTTCCCTCCCTCACTGCCTCATACCCTCGAGCCTGTAGGCAGGGTAGGTGTCTACTTGTCTTCGTTGTCGCTTGCAGACCATTATTCCTCATGCCTGCCCTAAAACGTCAGTTTTGGAGCTCATGCCATCAGGCAGTGCCCCCTGTTACTCCTTCCCGGTGCAGCCGTCTGCAGGCTCGCAGGCCATGCCCCGCATTCCAGGGATATCTTAGCTCTTGGTGTACTGCCCCTCTCCCCACGCCTTCTCCTGCTAGCAGTTCTTAGTGGTTTCCACATCCACTTAGACGACGCGTCTTGTGTCCTGGCTTCTCGGTTCCTTAACCTCTTCTCCCCAATGATTTTGCCTCTGTGTGTCCTGCTGAGACCGCACTCCCATGGCTGCCTGGACCGTGGAACTGTAACCTCAGTTTCAAGCACCCCACTGTCTGACCATCACCTCTTTCTCCAGTTCACTCCCTCTAGTGCTCGATTCCCGAGGTTATTTAATCACTGGCACCCACAAGATATTGACCCTGTTACCTTTTCACTGCCTTCCTCTCCTGCCATATCCTCACTCCCCATCTTATCAAATTAAATTCCACGGGAAGCACCAAAACCACTCTCCAGAGCAAAATGGCGACATTTCACTTGAGGTCACCTCCTACCCTCTAAACTCTTTCTAAGATAGAGTGAGTCACCAGCCAAGGGCAAGAATGCCGGAAGCTGCCCGAGTTGGTCTCTTGGTCGACTTCATGCTTTACCATCATCGTAATGGCTTCCTGTTTTTACCCTCAGCTTCCCTGCCCCTCTGTTACTCCATTACCCTGGTCTGGCAAAATGCCAACCTGCTTATATCCCCCTTGCCACCCGCTCTTCACCTGCACTTGGGCAGCTGAACATTGTTACAGAAAATCTCACAGTCACGCTGACTGGTGTCACTATAATTCGTGACTCACCTCAAGTCGGCCCTTCGTCCTGCCCAGAAAGCCTGTTACTTTTTCCCTTTCCATTTGCCCTCACACTCTGTTAGAGATTATTGCACACACCTTTCCCTTAATTCTCAAGCCCCAGTGTCTCCTGCCAGCCTGTTCTTAGCCCCTGACCACAGTTGCCTCTTTTTTTTTTTTTTTAAACTTTATTGGGGAACAGTGTGTTTTTCCCAGGACCTATCAGCTCCAAGTCAAATTGTTGCCCATTAGTCTTAGTTGTGGAGGGTGCAGCTCAGCTCCAAGTCCAGTCGTCATTTTCAATCCAGTTGCGAGGGACTGGGGTGGGGGTGGGGGTGGGGCGCAGCACACCATCCCAGGCGGGACTCGAACTGGCAACCTTGTTGTTAAAAGCATGCGCTCTAACCAACTGAGCCATCCAGCCGCTCGCCATCAGCTCAGCTGAAATCATTGTCTTCAACCTAGTTGCGGAGGGTGCAGCTCAGTGGCCCATGTGGAAATTGAACCGGCATCCCTGTTGCTCAGAGCTCAAGCTCTAACCAACTGAGCCACTCGGCCTCCCCTCACAGTTGGCACTCTTAATCCACACCCCATCTGCCCCAGCTGCACTGGCTCCGGGACATTTTGTGAACATGCTCAGACCACTCCCACCCCAGGACCTTTGCATTTGCTGTTCTCTCTGCCAGGAGCGCTCTTTCTCCTTAGACCCGCCTCCTCCCTCCCTTCATCTAGGCCTCTGCTCAGACACCTAATGCTGATCACCCTCTATAGAATAGCACTCCCTGCCCTTTCGTCATTCTTTTCTCTCTTTATTTTGCTTTATTTTTTATCACAACCTTCACTATCATTTCCCCATCACACCTACATGCACATAATCACATACAGACACCCACGCACAAACATGCACACACATGTATTTTGTGTGTGTGTCTGTCTGTCTGTCTGTGTGTACACTTCTTGAAAGCATGGACTTAGTCTTATCTTCAGAGCACAGAGCAATGGCTCACAATAAATATTTGTTAAATGAACGAGGAAATAAATGCACCGAGGGGAATTGGAACTGATACCTATTCTAATCAGCAAGCTTCCAGGGAAAGCGGCAGCTGAGTTTCCTGGGTCAGCTGTGTGGTTGTGCAGGTTGCTGACTGCACAAGGCCCTCCAGTTGAACAGTCAGCAGAGGAAATGGGGAGCCTATTCACTGCCCTCCTTCAGGGCTGCTCAGGACCCCGTGCCCACTGCACAGCTTGAGGAGATGGAGCCTTCTCCTCCCTTGTGTCGCTTACCTTCCTTCTTCTGGCTTCTCTGACATCCATTCCATAGTCACGATCCTTCTACACTAAGGCAGGGCAGCCTGGCTCTGACTCGGGGCAATGATTTACTTGAGTAGGAAAGCAGGAAGGACCAGGTGTTGGCAGCTCTGCCAGCGTCTTGCTTCTCCCTCAGCTTCAGCCCTCCACCGCCCACACAGCCGACAGCCCACGGCACACCTGCCAGCTTTACAAATCCTGCCGCTGGGCACCAACTCAGGACTCTGGCAACACACAAAGCCGACTAGAAACCAACCTGGGAGGTTTCCAGCATTTGTTGCCTCTGGTGGGGTGAGCCCCCTTCTGGTAGAGGAAGCAGGTGAGCGGGTGGGCGGGGACCTCCAGGGAAGGACCTTTGTTTCCCTGTGGACAGACTGTGGGTGACTCAGATGAAGCGGAGTGTGTGTGTGTGTGTGTGTGTGTGTG